ACAGGCCTTCCCTCCTTGGACGAAGAACCTGATGACCCAGGGAGGATGAATTTGGAGGCAGTTAGCAGGACCTGAACCAAGCTGATGATGGTAATCCCAGAGTATCAAAAAGCTAAAGCCAAGGGATACTGGGAACACTGGAGGTAGAGAATGGGCACTGGTGGGGATGGGTACTCAATCATTGTATAACTGAAACCCAAACACAAAAAATTTAAGTCTACAAATGTACCACATGGTGTTTCACTAATAAAAAAAAAAAAGAAAGAAAGAAAAAAGCTAAAGCCAGAATGCAGTTAGAAGCTGACTCCAGTGGCCTGACTGAGGGGTGGGGGAAGAGGAGGTATGAATAGCAGGGCCACCGGTGTGTGAAGCAGCGTCCTCAATTACTGATTCAACCCTTCCCTATCAAAGGGTCAGAGCAGCTCTCTCCACCTCCTGAGGCCTGGGTCATGGCTCCAGAGTCCCCAGTTCAAAGGAGAAGGTGGAAAGACATGGAGCTCCCACAACTCTCTTGATGAGAATAGCAGTCCCAAACAGTGGCCCTGAGTTCAAGACTCAGAAAAGAACCACAGGCAGGGAATGTGAACAAGAAATAAGTTTCTGCTGCCGAGGGGCAAGGAAACATGGGGGTGATGTTATCACAACTTTCCCAAGTTGTCAAGGGTGCCAGAGAGATTGTACAGCGGGGAGGGTGCTTGCCTTGCACTCTGCAGACCTGGGTTCAATCCCCAGCTACACATACAGCCAGTTCCTCAGCCCACCAGGAGTGATCCCTGAGCCCAGAACCAGGAATATGCCCTAAGCACTACTGGGTGTGGCTCAAGAGCAAAAATAAATAAATAAATAAATTCCAATTCCTAATTCAGAAACCATCTTCCTTCTCCAATCTAATCTACACAATCCTGCCAGCTGCAAGCTCCTAAACTTGTCCTGCTCAGTAACCTGAGGGATCTTCCAATTAGCCAGATAACTAAAGTCTCTCAGAACTGAGTACAAAGATCACCGTGTTCAGCTCCCTATTTCCTTATTCCTAACACTATCTGCAAAACTTCAAACCACATACAACCCCCCTCCTTCCTTTGCCCCTAAACCTAGAACACTGCCTGCTACCCCACAAACCTCCCCTCCCCTTAATGCGAAGACCAGCCTCCCTGAAACTACCTAACAGTCATCACACTCCTCTTCCCTCTGAGCATTCCAACATAAAAGTGTTCTGCAAACACCTAATTAGTTCTCCCAAAGCTGCCGCGGAGAGCATAAAGATGACACATGTGTCTGTGTCCCCATAAACTTTACAGGGCCCCAGGATCTAAGAATGGAGAGTGTCTGCCTTGCAGGCATGGGGCTATGAGGTGGAGCCCTAGCACCATCCCACAACACAAATGTGATTTCCAGCAGAACAGGCACCACAACCAGGTGTGCACATACATTGTAATCAAACGTGCAATGCTCAGCAAGCACTTCACCCAAAGGTGTGTATAAGCAAGACTGAAGTGCACAATCCCTAGCAACAGCTAAGTGTGGAAACACCCAAGCAGGTGTTTATGACCCCAGTCACCACAAAAGAACCAAGAGTGTAGGTGCCCAAACAGGTGTGCTTGACTCCAGTCATCACAGAAGAACCAAGTATGTAAATACCCAAACAGACGTGTGTGACCCCAAGTCACCACAACAGAACAAGTGTGTAAGAGCCCAAAAGGTGAGTGTGACCTCAGTCACCACAATAGTAACAGTAACAAAAGGAGGGGAGGGGGCACACTTCACTTAAAACAGGCTGGGATCTGCCATTGGCTGTGGAGCAGATCCCTCCCGAAGCACCATTGGGCGTCTATCACAGAAAGGCTCGAAGAACTCTCTCCTTCCCAAAACCCTTGAAAGAAAAGTATTCCACATGTCTGCAATGTTATAATATATACACAACTGCATATAGATCGTAAGGTAAAGGTAAAGGCCCTCCCGTTGATCGTCGATTTACTCGAGCGGGCCCAGTAACGTCTCCATTGGAGACTTTGTTGTTACTGTGTCTGGCATATCGAATACTCTCGGCAGCTTGCCGGGCTCTCCGAGAGGGGCGGAGGAATCGAACTCGGGTCGGCCATGTTGGCCGCTTGTAAGGCGAACGCCCTACCCGCTGTGCTATCGCTCCAGCTTCAATTTTTATTTTTTGGTTTTGGGGCCACACCTAGTGATACTCAGAGCTTATTCCTGGCTCAGTAACTCCTTGAGCTCAGGAATTACTCCTGGCGGTGCTCAGGGGACCAGACAGGATGCTGGGATTGAACCCAGGATGGACTGAATCCAGGTTGGACGCATGCAAGGCAAACACCCTACCTGCTGTACTATATCTCCAGCACCACACTTCAACACTTCTATCAAATTAATAATGATACTTGGAAGCATTTTTTTGGGGGGCAAGGCAAGTGGCTTCCCTGCTATACTATCTCTTAGGCTCACATAAACTGTTAAACAAAAAAAACCTCCATCCACAAGCATCACAACTCATAAGTAATGTCAAAGATCAATATGACTTGTTTTATAGCAAGCTTATAAATGAGGATGCAACATAACATGACATACCATGAAAAGATTCACTGAATAAAAAGAAGTCATTATCATACTTCAGGTTCCTGAAGAGAACAGGCACTACTGATCACACACATTCTAGGGAAAGATAAACCATGCAAATACTTCCTTCAGGCCCAGGGATATAGCTCAAACAGTACAGCCTGAGTTCAATACCCAGCACTGCCAGATGTGGCCTTGGTGGCCTCCAGTACAGCCAAGTGTGACCCCTTATAAAGAAATCCAGGATGTCGGTCTAAGAAGCACTAGCACAGCAGCAGCAAGAGGTCTGTCCGAGCAGGGGGGTGAGGGATAACACACAGGTCAGTAAATAGAAACAGCAAAGGCATTCTGCTAGTAAAACCAACCATCTCGATTTGAGAACACATAATACAGTATTTTTTTCAGCAGCACTAAGGAGCCAGGCTGAAGTCTAAAAGACACTGTATTTGCTGATATTATTCAAGGACAGCTTGCCCCAGGCGTGCGCGCACACACACATACACACACACATACACACACACACACACACACGCACGAGAAAAAGCTAGAATGGACATTTTAAACTCTCTCGATAGCTAAAGACTTTAAATTTTGTTCACCAAAACTGTTTCATCATTATTTGTTCAAAAGATAAACTCTTATCGCGTCTTAAACTCCATAAACACCAAGGATCTACCTAAGTGGAAGTGTTCACCCTTAGAGCCACCAAGTCACCAAGGAGAGGGTTATCTTGGGTAAGTGTAAGACACCCCAGACCCAGCATGAGAAACATCTCCATGGAAATATGGAGCACTTTCCCACTTGGTTCAAAAGCAAGTCTTTCATCTTCCTATGGTTTTGCAGGATACTAAAATTCTCATTTTGCTGCTTATGAGAATATGCTGTAGTAAGAAATATTCCTAAAATGCCTTTCATCACCATTTGTTCTAAAGATAAACTCTTATCTCCCCTACAAGGAAAGCACTGTTAAGTATCACAACAAAGGCTTCAGTGGGTGGGGAGGGGGTTGTGGGGCCACATCCAAGGTGCTCAGAGTTTACTCCCTCCAGTGCTTGGGGCATGCAGTGCCCGTTTGGCTGGATGCAAGGCAACCGCCTTAGGCCCTGTACCATCTTTCTGGCGCTTTCTAAAAGTCGCTGTTGCTGCCCTTTGGGGGCCACACCCAACCGTGCCAGGTCGTACCCCTGGCTCTGCACTCAGGTATCACTCCCGGCAGGTTCCCTGGACAGAATAATGGTGTGGGGCAGAATAATGGTGTCGGGGATCAAACCCGCGCTACCAGGTGCAAGGCAAATGACTTGCCCGCCCTACGACCTCTCGGCCCGCCCTCAGAGCGCTTTTCAAAAGTTCCACGTAGGGTCTGGAGCAATAGCACAGGGGGTAGGGCGTTTGCCTTGCATGCGGCTGACCGGGTTCGAGTCCCAGCATCCCACTGTGGTTCCCTGAGCACCGCCAGGAGGAATTCCTCAGCGCAGAGCCAGGAGTAACCCCTGAGCATCGCCGGGTGTGACCCAAAAATCAAAAGAAAAAATTTCCACGTAATAATTTATCTAAGAACATGAAATGCATTCCTCTTTCACCTTGACATAGGCTCCCTTCTCCAAATTGAGCCCTCACTTGACGCTGTTTAAAAAAAGAGAAAAAAAAAAAAAAAGGACCGCGGGGTGAGGAGCCGGTGCAAAGGGCAGGACCGTGCGCCCACCCGGGTTCACGCCCCCCGCACCCCCGGGTCCCCGCGCAGCTCCGGGATGGGGAAAGGAAGACGAGGGGCTGGCGCGGGGCGGGGCGCTGCGGGCGCGGCCTTCCCCGCCGGCATCGCCGGCGTCCCCATTTTACAGATCAGGACCAAAGGCTGGAGTACAAAGCCGGGCGGCAGCGTGGCTCCGGACCGCCGCTCCCGCACCGCGCCGCCGCCGCCCGGCCAGACGCCGCGGGGGCCCAGCGTCCCCGCGCCCGGTCCCGCCGCGGACCTCGTCCCCCGCGCCCCGGGCGGGGACACACCTGCCCATTGTGCACGGGAACCACCTGCTGTGTTTGGCGCCCACCCGCGCGCGCATTGTCTGCAGAGGTCACCCGGCGGCCCGCGGCGGCGCGAGGGGGTGGGGGCGCCGCAGTGCCCGCCGCAGCTGCTGGTGGGCGCCGCCTGCAGCGTTCCCGCAGCTGCCGCCGCCCCGGCCGCGGCGCGTCCGAAAATAAAGGCGCGCGGCGGGCGGGACCCGGCGCTCCGCAGAGGCCGCGGCCGCACCCGGCCCCGCGCGCGGACAAAGCCGCCCGCGCCCCGCGCCCACCCGCCCCGCAGCCGGCCCGCGCGGCCGCGCCCCGCCGCCCCCTCGGGCTCGGCCGGCTCCGGCGCGTGGGCCGGGGGCCTCGCCAGGCCGGGCGGCGGCCGCGGCGCCGGCTCTCCGCCATCTTCCCGCCCGCGCCTGCGTTCTCACCGGCCGGCTGCGCGCGGGCCGCGCCGCCACGGCCCCTCATCCCGGCCCGCGCCGCGCCCGAGCTCCGCGGCTCTCCCGCCGCCGCCGCCGCCGCCGCCGCGTCCTCCGCCGCCGCCGCCGCCGCGTCCTCCCGTCACCAGCGCAACCTCCCGCCCTCCGCCCCGCCCCCGCGCCGCCCGCGCGCGCCGCCAGGGGGCGCGCGGCCCGCGCATTGCGCACGCGCGGCGCGGCGCCCGCCGGGAGTTCCGCCGAGGGAGCGCGCGGCCTGTCGGGAGGCGCTCCTCGTTCTCGCCTTTTCCGTGACCTTACGCGGAGCCTCAGGCCGCCTTCCCTGGGGTCGCGGGGTCCTGGTGTCCAGGCCCCTCGCATGCCTACGCAGGCCGACCCCTGCCTCGCCGGAGGTCCACATCCCCGAAAGGTTCTCCTGCGTCCTGGGACGACCCCCAGCCCCCGCGCGCCACTGACTGTCACCACCTTGAGCCTTGTTGGCTTTCTGGGCCCGCGCGCTCAACTCGCTCTGGAAGTCATTAGCCTCGACCCCCCTTCCTGAGCTTCAAATCCCTCCTCAGCCGCATATCTTTCGTCAGCCTCGGCCCACTCCTCAGTCTCAAATTCTTCCTCAGCCGCAGCCCTCTGCTCAGGATCGAATCCTTCCTCAGCCTCGACCTCTTCCTCAGCCCCTAATCCCTCCTCAGCCTCAGCCTCAGCCTCGACCCCTTCTTTAATCTTGAATCCCTCCTCAGACTCAAAGTCTTCCTCAGCCTCGGCCCTCTCCTCAGCCTCCACCCCCTCCTAACCCTGGAATTCCTCCTCAGCCTCAAATCCCTCCTTAGCCTCGCCCCTTCCTCCGCATCGAATCCTTCCTCTGCCTCGGTCCTCTCCTCAGCATCCAATCCTTCCTCAACCTCGGCCCTCTCCTCAGCCTCGAATCCCTCCTCAGCCTCAAATTTGCCTCAGCCTCAAATCATTCCTCGGCTGACTCAACTCCTTCCTCACCGTCGAATCCCTTCTCAGCATAGAATCCTTCCTTAACCTCGGCCCTCTTCTCAGCCTTGACCCCCTCCTTCCTTTCAAATCCCTCCTCAGCCTTGGCTCTCTCCTCAGTCTCGACCCTCTTCCTCAGCTTCTCTCTCCCTATGCCTCCTCTCTCCATCTCTGTCCAGGATTCTCCCCTTGATCAGCCAGCCCAGTGACTGTGCCCTGCTTTTCTCAGTCCTCTCAGCTGCCTGTCACTTCCCAACGTCATCTTGGCTAGTGTCCATAGGTTTTCAGCGTGCTCATGGGGAAGTGGAGAACAGACCACCAGGCTTGTTTGCCCCTCAAATTGCTGAAATTCGTTTCAGACGCCCCCCTTCCTCCCTTCCCCAGACCTCAGTTGTCACTGAGCTCCCCCACCTCTGAACAGTTGCTGCCCCTAATTATTTCCCTCTTCCCCACCTGAGCCAGGGTATTTGCTCCAGGCTCCAGGGGCCTGCCCATGGTCCTCATCCAAAAAGATTCAAGCTGAGGAAGAATCTCCTGACCACGCACCAGGCTGTCTTCACCGGGGCACCTCGGAGGGGCACAGGTTGAGCTTCCGTCCCGGCCCCAAGCAGAATCCTGGCAGCTGAAAACCTCCAGAACCTAGCCATAGCCATACTCAAGGCCACTCTCCATATGCTCAGACAAACCTCACCTATGAGAGAACTGGCAGAGGAACCCAGGTATGCAGGTCCCGTGGCTGAGATCTCCAAGCTTGCTCAGATCGGGACTGGGCCTCCTCCACCCAGCTCCCCAGTTTTCCAGTAGCGTGGCAGTAACACCCACAAACCACCCCCCGCGCCATGTATCAATGGCCAAGATCCAGAGACTATAAAATAAAACTCCTGGAAGAGAGTGATACAGTATTTCCTGGAGCATGAAGCTGCATTGGTGGCCACAAGACCTCTTATACTCAATCCCACTGATGTACCTAAAGTAGCACACATTTGTTTGGTTTTAACATAATTGCTTGTATTCTCTTATCACTTAATCACTTAATCACTTAATCCCCGTTATTCATCGATTTATTCGAGCGGGTGCCAGTAACGTCTCCATTCATCCTGGTTGCGTGCTAGCGTAGCCCAATGGTATCTGTTCGTTTTAGGAACATGTAGAGCCTCAAACCGATCATTTAGGGTCTTGACGAAGAAGTCTGACCATCTTATAGGTGGCCGTCCACGTGATCTTTTGATGTCTCGTGGAATCCAATCAGTAATGGCTCTAGTCCAGCGGTTGTCTGTAAACCTCATTACGTGTCCAGCCCATCTGATTTTTGATGTCTTGGCAAATGAGACAGCGTCCCTGATTCTTGAGCGTTGACGAAGATCAGAACTCCAGATTCTATCTCTCATTTGAGTGAATCGTGATATATTCCAAGCATAGTTCTTTCGATTCCTCTTTGAGAGACCCGAATAGCGTTCTCATCCTGTTTTCGTAGGGTCCAGGTCTCTGAGGCATATGTTAATGCAGGAAGAATAGTGGAATCAAAGAGATGTGCTCGTAGCTGGAGGTTCTTTGTCCTTTTAGTTATTTCTTCAATGCTCTTGAAGGCATTCCAAGCCGCTCTCTTCCTCCTGCGCAACTCAGGTGCCAGTTCATTCATCATGTTGATTTCTCGACCTAGGTATATATAACTGTTGCATTCGGAGATGGTGGTTCCGTTGAGAGCGAATGGAGCGTCAGGAACAAGGCTGTTTCTCATAAACATTGTCTTCGTAAGATTCAGCTGCAGTCCTGAACAAGCTCCCGGGAGAGCACAAGGCAGAGTCTCCTACCCTGTGTCTGACTATCCTCGCCAGGGCCCAACAGCTGAAGACCTCCAGGCCCCAACCAAGGCCTTACTGGAGCCACTCTCCACACACTTGGATAAGCCTCAGACATAACAGAACTAGCAGAGGAACCCAGGTGTGTGAGACCCGGGGCTGAGATCTCTAAGCCTGCACGGTTTGGGACTGGACCTGTCAGTAGCTAGACAGTTACACCCTCCAACTGCCGTGTAACCCCAACAAAGGCCAGGATCCAGAGATTATAACAACAAGCTCCCGGGAGCGCGCGGCCGGACTATTTATTTAATTTTCTCTAAATTTTCAGGATACCTTAAATATCCTTAAATATCCAACCCACACGGCAGAGCCTGGCAAGCTATCCGTGGTCTATGCCAAATAGACCAAATTGATATGCCAAATCCAGTAATAAATGGATCTCATTTCCCAGTATTCTCTTATATATGGGCTTAAATGGCTCCAGAATGAACTACAACAGCCTTCACACACTTCCCTCTTATTGTGGTGGGAAGATGCTCATTGGTGGGGTGGGTGTTTGAATATTATCTGTAATGAACTATTGTGAACTACTTCATGAAAATAAAATGTATAAAAATCGAAAAAAAAAAAGATTCAGGCTGAATGCACCCAACATACTCCATTTTGAAACTGGAAAAACATCACAACCAGGCCAACTTCACTTGGAACATGAAATGCTGGGCAGAGGGAGAGTGGAATAGACGGAGCTCATGCAGGAGGCTGCAGTCCATTCTTGGCAATGTGTTTTGGAGTACCACAGGCAGCCACCCACAGCACAGAGCTCGAAGTGGCCACTTAGCACCACCAGGTGTAGCCCCCAAACCAGGTAAATAAAAATAAAATTAAAATGCAGCATCCTTGACACTGATTTTCTCCAGGAGAGATATCTCAAAGCAACCATCAGGATTTCTCAGGCCTTTCTAGTTGAGTCTCCCAAGGGCCCATCCATGTCCATTTGTCTTTTGCCTTCCCTCCTCAAAACAAGTGTCTTTTTCCTATCAAACCCACTTCCTTATGGGGCTGGAGAGATAGTACAGCAGGTAGGGCACTTACCCTGCATGTGGCTGACCTAATTCGATCCCTGGAACCTTAAAGGGTATCCTGAACACCTCCAGGACTGATCCCTGAAAGTAGAGCCAGGAGAAAGCCCTAAGCACCAAGGTGCAGCCCCCCAAATTTTTTTAAAAACACAGTTTCTTTTGTAATGAGCTCACTCACTTGCATAGTCATTTGTTCAGCTGTTTCATTTTCTGCTTCATCTGTGTGTCCATTTCACTTTCACAAGCATACGAATGTTCTTGATAATTTCTCATCATAAAAACAAAGTTCTCCTTTAGGTTCACACTACTCCCAGGCCTTCTGGGTTTCCCCGAGGGCTGTACTGCTTAAAATAAACAGGGCAATCTTATACACTTGCTCCACCTCACCAAATCTTATTTCTATTTCATATTCTCCTCATCCACCAATTACACTGAAAGCATTCCTGTTTAGGATATCTATTGCCAACTCCACTATACTTTGTTCTGTGGCATTCTGAATGCCCCTCGAGGAACACTAATACTTTGAGTCTGATTTGCTTTTGTTATGCAAAAGTCCACAAATAGTTAAGACATATTAATATATGTATTAACAGCATATTTCAATATGAAAAAAGGCCTATGGGAGGATAGACAAACCAATAATTGTAAATTGAGAATTTATTTCTTTGACAAGAAAACAAAAAAATTCCAAGATTAGAATACTGAAATGTTGTGCTTGATAAAATTTAATTAACAGATACAGAAATAACTATCCAAAAAGCAAAAAATAAACATAATAGTTACAAAAAATTACCACAGTATATGGAAGGCAGTGAATTCCAGGCAATTGGTGAGGATGTGACTCAATGCCCCCCACACTGACTTCCAGGAGCAATCAGCAACCCTGAGTACTGCCAGGTATGTGCCCCAGAAACAAACAAATAGGCCAGAAAGATAACTAATAGTTGAGCACATGTTTTGCACAGGGGAAGCTTGGGTTCGAATCCTATAGCATACCATAGTTCTGACATCAGTCATTGTCTCTGAGTACCTCTGGCGTGGCCCCAAAACAAATATTAGTTTAATTCCAGAATTAACATTGGAATATGATCTCCAGACAAATGTAATGAATTTTAATTTTTGCTTTTTTGCTTTTTTGAGTCACACCTGGAGATACACATGGGTTACTCCTGGCTTTTCACTCAGGAATTACTCCTGACTGTGCTCCGGGGACCATATGGGATGCTGGGAATCGAACCCAGGTTGGCCGCGTGCAAGACAAATGCACTA